TACAATAGACATTTCACTTTCAATAAGATACACCAGAATGACAAAAATGCCCCTGACTCGAGCATTCTAACATCATTAAACAGGATTAAACCCATTAACACAGGCCCAGTTACAAGATAAGATAAACATAAGAATGGGCTAATAAGAACTCTTATCAGCTGAACATCACTCTAACATTCTAACAGTATGTTTTCCTGAGGGAAGGGAAGGTGCTGGGTGGGATTTAATCTCTAACATATTAAACGGTTTTACTGAGTACTTAGATGAAGCTAATACAAATATTCACATTGTTGAAAAATGAAAAGCTCTTATTGACTTGATTCAAGAAGAGTTGGAGTTGGGAGCAGTAAATCTATAGTTGGAATATGGCAATATCTTGGTCTCAAGCTGGTCCCCTGAGTCCAATGTGAAGATGCTGTGTATAGAAGATGGTGTCACTGTTCAAGTTGTTGTGTCAATTTGTGGAGGACAGCTAGTAGGGTTTTTTTACTTTGATTTGCACTCAGAAGCTATTCTTCTCAATGTCTTGAAGCCTGAAGGCATAATTAGTAAGGTAGAGGTTTTCACTGATAAGGTTCTTTACTCAGTTTGGTTAGCAACCTCCATTGAAGCAGCTCTCTGGATGGAAGCTCTTGGAGAGGAAGACAAGAGGGTTGAGAAAGATTGGCTTCGTGGTGGAAGAGGATTGAACTCTTTCAAAATTTCTGCAAAGGGGCTGCATCAAAAATGGGGGCTGGGGAGTGGAAGGAGGATCTCATTTTTCTTTATTTTTAATAAAAATATTTTATATTAAGAAGAATGAAGATGCATATCACTAGTTAAAAGGGGGGGGGGTCTTAGTCCCTAGCCCACTTTCTTTTCCCTTATCTTTTCTTTCCTTCCCTTTCCTTTTCTTTTCTTTCTTTTTCTTTCCCTTCCCTTTCTTTCTTTTCCTTTCTTTTTTTTTCTTTGTTTTTTTCTGTCTTCTTATATGGGGTGTGCATGTGGCGCATGAGGCGTACGCCTCATGAAAAAAGCGTATGAGGCATACGCCTCTTGCACCTGAGGCGTTCGCTTCAGAGGTGTCGGCGCCTCTGGCATATGCCTTGGGGCATTTTGGGGCACCTCGCCTAGAGGCGTGCCTCTAGGTGTACGCCTCCCACACCTTTTAAAACACTGTGCAATAGTTCACCTTCTCAGACTGTTAGTGACAAAAAAGGAGAAAAGTCAAGTTTGAAAGATAACTAGATTGGTGAGGGGAAGATTAAGAATCGTGGTGAGGATTGTAGCTGACCCAGTTTATTGGTTGCAAATCCAGGTTTGTTGAACTGGCAGGGGGAGTTTTAAGGAGTCACTTGATGTGCTGAGTTGACAGGCCGGACCTTTTTCAGCTTGGGCCCAACCCTGATGGGCCTAATAACTTAGATTTAATTTGCTGGTCATGTGATGTTTCATGTAAGCACATGGGAGGGAGGCAAAGTCAAGTAATGATAGACCACTTGATGGATTTATCATCCTCTACCTCAAAAGCAACGATAGTTCCAAGTGTGTTATGACATACATTGAAAAACGTAGTTAACTTTTTGTAGGAGCAAATTGCAAAGCTTTTCAAAAGAGGGGAAGGTAATACATATCAAAAAGCGATATTTAAGGAAGGTTGAAGGAGTGAATAAGGACTCAAGGAGAAGTTTAAAATGTGGAATTGGGTGATAACTAATTTCACTCATGAAGTTTCAAACTCATGAGTGATTGAAGGGGTAATAGTGGCAGAAAAGGCTATTGCGAAGGTGTGCTCAGACAAGGTTAGAGTGGTTGTAGTGGGAAAGAGGGCGCTAGAGAGGAAATTGTTTGTCAGCCTGCTGGTGATTGTATTTCGTTAGTAGCAGAAGTTGGAAGGATTGAGTGGTATGGGGAGGTGGAAACTGTAAAGAAGGAAGGTAACATGATTTGGGGAAAAGGACATGGGGTTCCTAGAGTTCCTGAAATCTCTTATGGTAATGAGAAGGTTGATGATGGATTTTTTCCCCAAGTATTAGAGGCCCCTGTGGCAAGTATTAGAGGTACTACAACAGGAGGGGTACAAAGGATATGAAGAGATCTCAGAGCAGTGCAAGAAATAGTTCTAGTTTGGACTTGTTGAAGAAAGGGGTGGAGAAGAAGAAACTGGGGGAAAATTGAGGTTCTCAAAAGATTAGAAGCAATAATAAATGAGGGATTGGGGAGACTGAGGACGAACTAGAGGAAGAGAGAGGAGAGAAGGAAAATAAGGAAGTGGTTATTGATCAAGTAAGAAAAAAAGTAAAAAAAAAAAAGGATTTGGAATAAATAGTCAAAATTGAAGCCCAAGTAAGCAAGATGTAAGGGTTTTATGTTTTTAGGAGGGGAAGAATACGTGAGAAAAATGTTTCAGGATTTGGAAGAGAGATACCTTTTGAACGAAGAATGGCATCGAAGGGGTTGGAGACCTGATTGTTGAATATTGTTAGGATTGTGGTTGATCTAGGGATATTAGGGGGGATGGTTGGGCTTTGTAGTGTCCTTGGTTGTGGGAGTGTGTTTTGCTTCGTTTGTAACAGTTGTGGAAGACTTGTATGTATGAAAAGAGTTTGGAGGGTTTGGTGATGTGGGTATTGGGCTTTGACTTGTATGTGTGATATCCTATCACCTGATTGGTTAATAAATTTTTTTCTTAAAAATCTAAATAAATCCATTTTAACGGTTTTACTGAAAAGAGGATATATGCAATATTTTACATCTGGAGGAAGTTTATTAATTGATGATTTAATGCTACAATAGAATGGTTGGATTTTTTTATTGGACACCATAGTAGTTAATTTCTACAAAGTTATTTCCCATTGAAATAAATCATCAGGGTGTATCGATAGGTTCAAAGTTTCAATACACCCCTTTTGGCGTATCGGGGTGTATCGATACTTTGAACCTTGGTGTGTAGTTTTGTAGTAGAGTGTCTATACTACAGTTTTAGACATTATCCTAATTTCCATAGAACTTTTGGATATTTTTATTTTATGAACAGGGTTACCCTGGGAAGTTCTACTGCCCAAGAATGAATAGTATGAATAAACCTGCATATGCTGCCATATGTACACATTCACCTACAAAGCCAGTTCTCATTTTCGTTTCATCTCGTCGTCAAACAAGACTTACTGCTTTGGACCTCATTCAGGTTAGATCTTTCATCATGCTGTGATTTTGAATTATTCAGTGGTATGCAGAGTTACTTATGGTTGTACATATGCAGTTTGCAGCTTCAGATGATCATCCACGGCAGTTTCTTGACATGCCAGAGGATGAGATGCAGATGGTTCTTTCTCAGGTCACAGATCAGAACCTGCGGCACACTTTACAGTTTGGAATTGGATTGCACCATGCAGGGCTAAATGATAAAGACAGATCCCTTGTTGAGGAACTTTTTGTGAACAACAAAATTCAGGTATTCTTTATCTCTTTGTTACCCCCTTATTGAGGAACTTTTTTGTGAACTTTTTGAGAAAGGCATGTTTTCCTCCACACTGTTACAGGTTTTGGTATGTACCAGCACATTAGCATGGGGTGTAAATCTTCCTGCTCATCTAGTTATTATCAAGGTGTGGGCAATCTGCTTTTTTTCCTGTTTTTAATTTCTATATCTATTTTTCTGATTAAAATATTCTTTTGAAGAACTCCCAATGAGGGAAGTTCTTACGGAGGTTTCATATGTTTGACAAAGGGAATTTACAGTACTAAACTCAACTAACCCTTATCCAACTTTTTGAGTGTCTATGTTAACCAAATACATTTTGGGGACAGGTGGACTTGGTGTCGTATATGGAATTTGCACTAAAAATTGAAGTATCTGACACAAGGCAGAAGACTTATAAACGTATCTAGGCATCATAGGTTTGGGTATTCTACATTAATTTCTATTTGCAGTCCCACTTTAGCTCTTCTTATCACTTCTATAAAGGCCTTTAGCCATTGTTGGTTCCTGCTGTCTAGGGTCTTGGGAGTGATTAACCTGCATTCTCATGCTTGTTAGCCCAAGATTTTACCATTATACCAAAAAATGGCCCCTTCTCACCACTTCCATCAACATCAACTTTGGCCCTTCCCATGCTTTCTTAGAGTTGAACTTGACCAAACCTTTCTTCGTTGTCATATTTTAATCCATATGACCAATCATCTTGGCTGATTTTCCCTCACTCACCTACTGGAGTCATCTTTAAGATTCATATCAATGGAGGGTGAAAAAGTTTTACTTTGAAGCCCGTGGCACTTACTTTCAATTTCTAAAAGAAATTGATCCTTGATAGGATCATCAGATTGCTAGGTGGGATCATGGAAGACCTTGACTTGAATGATCTACATGCTGTGAAGGTGAGAATCATGGGGGTGAAACCAGATGACATCCCTTGATCTCTGGCTCTCTTTGCCAATGGCCTTTGGAGGAGGGTTTGGTTACTGACAGGAGTTGAAGAAGCAGCTCTGTGGAAAGGGTGTTCAAAGGAGGAAGAAGATGATGAGGTTGCAACCTGGGTCTATGTGGAGGGAGGAGAGAGGACAATGGAGGAAAAGGGGAAAGGCTTCACTGCTGCGGGAAGGTGAATATTCTAATTCCAAAAGACGAGCAGAAGTTTATCTTGAAAATGAAAATTTTTGAAAAATAAATTGAAAGTAAAAAGAATAAGGGTTGTGGGCCCTCTTTTAGTGAAGTGGTTAAGAGGGGGGTAGCTTTTGAGCTGGCATGTAGTCCATACTTTGCAAATAAAATGCATACTAAAGCCCTATTAGATCCAGTTGGGGTTAGGGCTATCCTGTTACCTAAGGTGAACCAACTTGTTGATCAAAGTTTGGAGACTGGATCATGTGACACCTTAAGTAGTCACATGAGTCGGGTCTCTAAGGTTCCGATAGGAGACAATAGTTTGGGTCTATCATCTTTCCCAAAAACAGTTCAGCCGATGGCCAAGGATCACCTGAAACCAAGATATTCAAGGTTCATTTGGCGAAGAAAGAGGAGGAAGATGGAGGTTGAGTTGATTCCAGCATGTCAGAACTCAGAAGAGGAGTGTGATGATTCAAGTAGTGAATCTGATAACGACAACGCAGGGGAGGTTAATGAGATAGAGGAAGAGGGAGAGGAAGTTTTCAATACAGATTTTCTCTTTGATGAAGATCAAAAGAAGGAAGAAACTACCCATGTTCCTAGTCCTTCTATAGTTGTTGGGAGTTTAGCAAGGCCAGTACATGTTGGGTTAGGGAGGAAAATCAAAGACTAAACAAAGGAGTACCAGACCAGAGATTAATCTCTAGGCAGGGTGTTCGTAAGGAAATAGTGGACAATCACAAGAGGACTCACAAGGAGAATCCAAGCGGGGATAAGCTAGAGAACTGTGGAAATGAACATGAGTGTGAAACAAGACTAGGAAGTTTCTCCCAACATATTATCCCTGCGGTAGCCAATAGCTCCTAGAATTTTGAACAGGAAAAGAGAGTTAAGTCCCTTGGTCTTGTCATTGAGTCTTCCTACTTGCCCAGTCCAGGTTTGTTAATTAATTTTGCTTTGGGTACTAACCTATGTTCTGTGTTCGATGTTTCTGTTCCAGGGTCTCAAGCAACAATTAAGCCGCTTGCCAGTGATGTTGAAGGAGAAGGAAAAAATAGGGAGTTGGAGCTACAAGAGGAAGAGGAAAGAGGAAGAAGAATTTGGGAATGCTGGAGAAGGAGAGGAAAAATGAAAGTAAAGTTTGTGAAGGTTTTGTGGTTGGGAATGCGATTGAAACATAGGGAGGTTGTGAGGGGTGTAAGGGGAAAGAGGAGGGAGATAGTGGGAGGATAATGAAAATGAAGATTCAGTGGTTGACTTTGTTGAAAAGTTAGGATGTAAAATAATGAGCTGAAAGTCTATTTGAGGACAAAGAAGGAAGAAGGGAAGGTTAGAAAAAGAAAGCTATGTGAAGCAGAGAGATTAAGGCTGGATGTGGAAGGAGATAAGGAGTTTAGTGAAAGAAAGGGGAGGCGAAGAGGGAACAAGTAGGAGGGAGGAGGGAGGGGCAGGTCAAATAGGTGGAAATGAAGATTATAAGTTGGAATGTAAGAGGTTTGGGGAATCCAAGGAAGTGAACCTTAGTAAAGGATGTGTTAAGGAAAGAAAATCCAAACATAGTAATGATTCAGGAATCTAAGTTGGCAGACTTTCATAACAGGTGAGCTAGAAGCTTTTAGAGGGCTAGGGGTATTAGTTGGGCAATAAGTCCTTCATAGGGTTCCTAAGGAGGCATAGTGACATTGTGGAGAAATGAGGTCATGAAGGGAATTGTAGAACTTGTGGGTAAATTCATAGAGTCCATTAAGTTCAAACAAGTAGATGGTGGCTTTGAATGGGTGTTAACAAATATTTATTATCCTAATGGATATAGAGAGAGAAATGCGTTATGGAAAGAGTTGGAAGATATCAGGACTTTGGGAGGGACCGTGGTGTATAGTTGAGGATTTCAATGTAATTAGGTTCACTGAGGAGACAAATAATTCAAGGGAAAGCATCACTAGAAGTATGGGGAAGTTCAACAAGGTTCTCTAGAGCCTTACCTAGGCTAACTTCTATCATTGCTAATTTCCATTAGTAAGGAGGAGTTTGGTGGCAAAGGCCCAACCCAACCCCATTTCGATTTGAAAATGTGGTTATGTGGCCTAGGATTTGTAGGGAAAGTAAAGGATTGGTGGAATGAAAGTAATCCCAATTTGAATTGGGAAGGAATGAAGTTCCATTGGAAGCTAAAAGAATTAAAAGCAAGAATCAAAGAAATGGAACGTCCAGCAATTGGGGGAGATTAGAAGCAAGGAAACAAGAGGTGATTAGACAAATTGAGAGTCTGGATGCAAAGGAAGAAGAGGGAACTTTCAATGAAAGGGATGTGGTAAGATGGGAGTTGAGGAAGAAACTGGAGGATATCATGTTAAAGAAGAAATCTGTTGGAGGCAAAAATTCAGACACAAATGGGTGAGAGAAGGTGATGGAAACACAAAGTTATTTCATGCTTTGGAAAAAGGAAGAAGAAAGAAAATTTTCATCTCTAAGCTTGTGATTGATGATGTTACTCTCACTCAACAAAATGAGATTGTAGCGGCCTTTATGAATCATTTCAAATCCATTTATAGAAGACCCCTAAATGACAGGACAAGGTTGGAAGGGTTCAATTGGCCTAAATTGCCCGAGGACCTTAAATTATGTCTTGAGAGGAATTTTGAGGTGGAGGAAATAAGGGAAGCAATCTTTTCAATGGATAGGTCCAAAGCTTTTGGACCATAGGGTTTTATAATGGCTTTTTATCAGGATTGTTGAGACATACTCAAACATGATATTCAAAAAGTCTTCTCATTGGATTTTGGGGTAATGTTGCCCAATTTCCCTGGCTTCTCAAGTGAGTGCTCATCAAAATTCAGTTTTATTAGAACCTTGGGGAGTGGGTGACCCAATGTTTAAAAGTATCATTTGTAGAGGCAGAGGAAGAAGCAACCTAGGCCCACCCTCTGAAAGTGTCATTAGTTCTTGAAGTCTGTAAGCTCATCTCTAAATATGCACCTAGTGGACCACAAGGATAGTAATGAGGTCTATCAAAATGTATGGTTCCCTAAATTGTTCTTGTCAGCACATAGATACATATGGCTATTTAGATGTTCCAGACATTATCTAATCTTCTAATAAAGATCCGTTTCTGATGCAGGGAACGGAATATTATGATGGGAAAGCTAAAAGATATGTCGATTTTCCCATTACAGACATTTTGCAGATGATGGGCCGTGCAGGGCGACCACAATTTGACCAACATGGAAAAGCCGTAATTCTTGTTCATGAACCCAAAAAGAGCTTCTACAAGAAGGTAATAAACTTCATCTTCTAGACTTTTAGAAGGAAACTTGTTTGAAATTGTTGGAATAACCTTCATTTTCTATTGGCAGTTTCTTTATGAACCATTCCCAGTTGAAAGTAATCTGAGGGAGCAGTTGCATGATCACATTAATGCAGAGATTGTTTCTGGTACAATATGCCATAAAGAGGATGCAGTGCATTATCTCACTTGGACTTACCTGTTCCGGCGATTGGTAAAGTTTCACAGCTTGGTGATTACTTGTATATGTTTACATTTGCATAGCTTGTCATAAACATATTCTTCCATTATTTTCTGTTCGCGGAAGACTTTATGGTTTCTATTTACATTTGCATAGCTATCATGCTGGAAGACCTAGGATCAAATAAATTTTATTAGTAACGAGAATACAAAAGAGTACAAGGAGTACAAATGGAGAATCAAAGAAGATGAGACATAACCCCTCCAGCGTGCTACTTCCCCCCAAGACATCATCCCAAACAGAGCACAAATTACACCAGAGAATTAGGTCCCCAATATAAGACCTGTCATTTAGACTCTTTCCTATCTAGAGAACCTTCTAAGGAGTTGGCTGATCTTCACACCTAGTTGATTGAGATGTTTATAGAAGTGGCAAGAGGTCTATCCTCCTTTAAATGATACCTTAGCTGCCATTGTTCTGGATTGCTGTTCCTCATCCAGCCTATGCTTACTCTTGAATTTCCAACTACAAGGTTGCTATAGCCAAATGTGTGACTCAATCATATTCCCTGAAGTAAGGGGGGTACTCTATTATGTACTTCTTTCTTCACATCCCTAATAGAATTAAACAATTATAGATAAAAAAATTGTAGCTTTTTAAAAGGACAAGGGCTAGGCCTGTCTGAAGTTTCTTCATCAAGGATGGAGAATATGGCCTTTTCATTGAACCGTGTAGCTCCAAAAAGGACCACTTGATCAATTAGAAGATGGTCTATATGAGTTTAAAGGAAGGGGGCCTAGGATTGGAGTAGGATCATTCTCAGAAACTCTTCACTTCTAGGGATAGGTTGTGGAGGTTTCCTAAGGATTCTGATAATATGTCATGCAGTCATTAAATGCATTTATGGTGTGGATACGAATGGCTAGGATTCAAGTTTACAAGCATGAGCAACTCCTTTTTCTCCTTGGAAATTCATTCTTTCCCTACTCCCTTCCTTTCTACAATTCATTAGTATGGTGTTCTATTTGGCAAAAAAATCATACTATGGTTAGACCTTTGGTTGGGGACTTTCCACTTATTGATAAATACCCCTCTTTATTCTCCTTATCCTCATGCCCATACAGTAGTAGTATACCTGATTGCATGACCTCCCCCCCGCCCCCCTCAATGTCTAGCTTGGAATTTGGGTTTGAGATGGGAGCTTAGGAACTGTGAAACCCCAAAGGCCTTAGCCTTAATTGAATCTTTAGAGGAAACTTTCTTTGACTTCTCTAAGTAAGATTCAAGAATTTGGACTCTCAACTCCTTCGGTTTATTCTTTTGTGCCTCTTTCTTTATTAGTCGCTCCTTGGGCCCCTCAAGCTCTTGTTCTCTAGTTAAGGCCATTTAGTGAGGGTTGGGGCCACTTAGGATTTGAGCATTTCTGTTGGGAGGTTTTTTCATTAAAAAAATAAATAAATAAACATGTCGAATACATTGCTGTGGAAAATATATTCTTGGTGTTTATTCATTTATGCCCTTTGTGCAAAGCTAATGGTGGCAATTCTTTCAATCCATAACTCTCCTGCAGTTTTGTTAAGAGCACTTTTTCTCATTGTTTGACCTCACAAATCTGTTTGATACCTCATTCTGTTTCCTTCAATAAAGAGAGATAGTCTTGTGGAGATCTGTGTTAGAGATATATACTTCTTAAGTTACAAAAGATGCGAAAGATGCACAATATAATGGTGCTCCCAAACAATAGATCAGCCCATAGGCTCGCTACACCCCCTTAAGCTAATGTCAGGGAAGAAGCATCAGTTTGTAAGGAAGAGAGATGTGGCCACAAGGAACTGACCTGAAATGAAGTTTCAATCAACCTCAATATGCTTTGTACATTCATGAAACAAAGGATTCAAGGCTATCTTGATTGAACTTACGTTTGTTATTTCTTACACTTCCATGAAACAAGAGAATCACCCAGGAAAACATACCACCCAGTTGTGGACCTTCTTGTGTCTGGGCATCCCACCCAATCAGCATCAACATAAGCAGTCAAGTCTAAAGATGATGATGATGAGTAAAATAATCCATGAGACAAAGTATCACGAAGATATCTAATAATGAGAAGAACAACCGACATATGTGGTTGTCAAGGAGAAGAAACGAATTGACTAACCTAGTAGAAAACTTCTGAACACCTGAACCAAAGAATCTGTAAAGAAAAAGATAATTCTTGAAGAGAGCCAATAACTAATTAAAAACAGAGCCAATAATCTGGCCACCCTCCTCACTAGCATTTATACTTTTAATTAAAAAAAGGTACAATGACTAATATGCCCTTATAGGGTGGATTGTGGGCAATATTGATTGTAACTTGGTTGTCACAATATAATATCATAGGCTCCTCAGCTTTTATCCCAATCTCACTCAGCAAGGATCTAACCCAAAGTAGTTCTGAAACACCATGAGCCATAGATCTATATTTGGCCTCTACACTTGACCTAGCCACAACTAACTATTTTTTACTCTTCCATGAAACCAAATTTCCTCCTACAAGGGTGCATACCCCTGATGTAAATCTCTTGTCATCTAAACAATTTGCCCAATCTGCATCTATATAGGACTCCAATTTTAAATTCCCGTGGTCTGAGAATAGAATCCCTCTACCAAGATGCTTCTTTAGGTATGCAAGTATCCTCTCAATGGCTTCCCAGTGCTGACCTTGAGGATCATGCATATACTAACTCACAACACTAACAGCATAGGAAATGTTTGGATGTGTCATACATAAATATAATAGTCGGCCTACCATCCTCTGATATCTCCCCACATCCTTAACCAATTCACCATCCAAAGCATTAATCCTATGGTTTGGGTCATAGGAGTATTAGATGGTTTAGTTCCTATCTTCCTAGTTTCTTTGCAGTAAGTCTAGCACATACTTCCTCTGAGAGATGAATATCCCATGCTTGGATCTTGCAACCTCAATCCCCATAAAATATTTTAGTTCACCTAGACCCTTGATCTCAAACTCTTGTTGTAGTGACTTCTTGAGTGCATCAATCTCCCTCAGATCATTCTTTATAATAACTATATCATCCACATGCAGAATCAATTCTGACACAAGTGCTTCTCTCCTTTTCACACAGAGTGATCAGGCTGAGTCTATGTATATCCAAACCGGATAAGTGCCCCTCTAAACCTGTCAAACCATGCCCTAGGTGACTGTTTCAATCCATATAATGATTTCTTTAGCCTAAAATCTTTTCCCTCACCAACATTTTCATAAAAACCAATTGGAATGTCCATATATACCTCCTCTTGCAAATCACCATTAAGGAATGCATTTTTAACATCAAGCTGGAAGAGAGGCCATGAATAGGTAGCTGCTAGGCCACTAGACATCATTATGAAATATGAGTGAAATAAGTAGCTTTAGTAGACAAAACAACCAAAATGAAATAAGAATCCTAGTTTATTAGCAAAAGGGTGACCAAAGCGTCTATATGCCATAAATGCCACTCATTATTTCTGCAAACTAGTTCTGAACTAGGAGTGGTGGAAAGTAAACAAGATAAAGCCCGGTGTCTTCTCGAACCCTAGAGTGAACAGCCATCCAAGTCTATGTCCCATTCCCTTCACTATCCCAGTGCATTGGTCTTGAATCGAACAACCATCACGAGAGAAAGATACAATATTACCTTCCTCAACAAGTTGTCCAACAGAAGTTAAATTAATAGTAAGTTTAGGGACAAGAAGGGTTTTGGGAAGATGAAACTGAGAAGCAGAAGTATGTAAGAATAAATCACTACAACTGAGTCTCTAGTTTTCACCATTAGTTGTAATAATATGCTTATTAAGAGACTAAGGTTTAAGGTACTGACCAGAATGTGCCCTTGTCTTGTGATTAGAGGCACCAAAATCTATTATGTGACTGGGTGAAGAACAATAAAAGAAAAACTCACCAGATGGCCCAATGGCTGAAAGTGCAGAAGAAATAGCCATAGATACCAACCGTCACACCTTCTCCTTAGTAAGAACACTAGAAGGCTCACTCTTAGTTGAAGGCACAACTAAAGAGGAGGGAATTATACCACCACCATTTGAATTCAATGCTTGTATGATAAAGGCTTTGTCTTGATCTTTCTTGTAACCCATAATACCTCCCTTAGGTGGACACGCAGGACACTCAGTTATGATGTGTTCATACTGCTTGCAATAGGTGCAAGTGTTCTTTTTTGTGCAATGAGAAACCACATGGCCAAACTCCTTACACTTATAACACTACAGCTTAGATAGATACTTTTTGAGTTTCGATCTTTTTGCTAGAAAAAATAGTTTCTGATCCCAAATCTTGCTTCCCACTGATAGCTAATTAAGTTACCAATCTTCTCTCTTCCCTCAGAAGTTCTTCCAAGATAACTTCTAGGCTTGGGGTGGTGTCTCCACTCCAAAAATTAGATCTAATTACCTCATATTCAGGTCGCAAGTGCATCATCAAAAAATGGATGGTCTTTCTTCTATCAAAGTGGCCCTTCATAGTCTTAACACAACAAGCTGTCAAGGATTCATCCATATGCACAAGTTCATACTCAGTCCACAGATTTACGAAGCCAGCATAATAATCCTGAATCTTCTTCACCCCCCTTGTCTATAGGAGAATATTTCAGTTTCAATCTGATATTGTCTAGAAATATTAGATTGTTGATATACCTTTTTCATATTATCAAACATCTCCTTTGTAGTCTTCGAGTCAATCCAAGAATCCAGGAAGCTATCTTGGCATCATCAATCTTCCATTGTTTTAACCCGTTGTTATCAGATTTATTGGGTTTGGGTGATGAATCATCAATATGACCCCATAGACCTTGCCCCTCAACATAAAACTGAAAGTGGAATTCCCACAAGGAGTAATTGCTTCCATCTAAACTCACGGATAGGATATCTCTTCTGTCCAAAGCATTTCAGAAAGAGTTTTAAAGCCAACTTCTTAGTAGTAGAAGGTTTTAGTGAAGAAATTCAGCTAACAAAAAAAGAAGTATTGAAAGTCC